CCCTGCCTAAGCTTTTAAATTCTCTTGTCATCATTCCATGCTCACCACCAATTCCTGGTGTCTAATTTTGCTTCCTGGACTCTTTGATCCGGCAGGCAGGCTGCCCTGATTAGGGAATAGCACCGGCTCCTTTTGGGAAGGGACAGGCTGGCAGTCTGCTCTATACAACTGCCCTGGGTGTGCCCAGTTACGGGGACCATGGCCTAGAGACGGAGTGTCTCCAAGTGCGCTGACAACTCCAGGGTCCACGCCTGAAAAGAAGGTGCTAGAAGTCTCCCCAACTCTGCCTGGAAATCTGCAGGTCCTGGTGCCCTGGAGGGGCACCCATCTCAAGGATGGACTTGCCTGTAGAAAGGGGAGACCCTAAAGAAAGGACACCCTCTGAGCCCACCTACATCCCTGCTGCATCCGTTCATCCCTTCAACCGCTCAGTCCCCTTCCCCACCTCCCTTGCCCTCGTGGGGAACTGGTGCCCTGGGGCCCCCTGAGGCTGACACCCTCAACCGCAGCATAAACATCACACCTGCAACCCACCTGGCCCAGAGCAAAGCACTGTGAAGTAAAGCCCCAGGGCAGGCGGGGAAGCCCCTGGGCCACTATAATGCCTACACAAAGTCTCTGCTGCAGTCAGGTGACTGGGAAGAGGTCGGAATGCAGGGCTAGAGCTTGAGGCAGAGGGGGCAAAGGGCGGGCAGAGGTCTGGCTGGAGGGGATGGAACCGGCCTGGACTCAGGAAACCTGAGGAGGGCGATGGGAGAAGAGAAAGACCCAGTGAGTGAAGGCAGGGCGCTGGGGAGAAGGTGGGGAGGGGATGGGAAGGGAACAGGGAGAGGCAAGTGGGCGGGTCCACAAAGAACAGAGTCGGAGGGACCAGGAGTCCAGGCTTTGGGCAGGCAGAGCTGGTCATCAGCTTTGAAACTGCCCAGTGAACTAGGCAGCTCCTAGCAGACTCCCCGTTATTGCCTCTGGGTCTCCCCACGTGTCGGCCCGAGAACCCACACCCCAAGTGCTCAAAGGAGAAAAACCCGGGGCAGGGGCCTCCCTAATAGCAGAGTGGAGCCTGCCTCAGCTGAGCTTCTCTGGGGTCAGGGGTCAGTGCCCAGCCTGCGCCAGGCGCAGTTGACAGAGTCACTGCCCCCACGACCCTCGCAACACCCAGAGGATGCGTTTCCCCGTTTGACAGAAAACCAAGGCTCACGGAGGGGAAGTGATTCGCCCAGAATGCATCTGAGGCTGCTCCATCAATTAGCAAGCCTTACGGACCAGTCCCTGCTCTTAGAACCGGGCATGCGGGGGTGAAAGAGAGACAGGCCTAGCACTCGACTGTGTGCTGTACTTTAGAGAGGGAAACGGACAAATAGAGAAGGTCAGCTAAGGATCAAGAAAATACGAAGGCCCACAACACTGTAAATCAACTATATTTCAATAAATTTAAAAAAGAAAAAGAAAAAAGGAATGAATGAGACAATATATACGAAAAAAAGAAAGGAAGAAAACACCAAGGTAACAGGGTTAAGCATGTGTGGGATGCAACTCTGGATGGCGAACTCAAGGAGGCCCTTGAAGAGGTGACAGCCTGCCCAGCAGACCCCCAGGGAAGGCCTGTCACACAGAGGGAACCGTGAACACAGCAGCCCTGAGACTGGACAGAGCTTCCCGCCCAGGGCACAAGCGGGCACGTGCAGCTGGAGCTGAGGGCAGAGGGGTGGGCCTGCAGACAGAGGGGACAGGAAGCTGCAGGACAGAGGCTGAGGGTGGAGGCAGGGCGGCCCAGCAGGAGGCTGTTACACAGGCCTCCACGTTAGAGGCAATGGGCCTAGAGCTGGGGAGAGGATGGTGGACCAGGGGTGCAAGGGAAGAGACAGGACGAGGATGTGGGCCTGAACTGGGGAGGCTGGGGAGGGAGGAGAAATGAAGGGGACGCAGATTTTGACCCTAAAACCCAAGCATCTTACCCCTGACGGGGCCTTTCTCTCTTTCTCCTTTGTCCCTCCTTAGCCAGGGCAGCAGTACACAGTAGGTATACAATTAACTCATTCATATATTCAATGAATATTTATTGAGCACCTACTGTCCTCCCTGGCAAGGTCCTTGCTGGTGTGGTGATAGAGGGGAGGGAGAAGAGAATGGAGGGTCTTTGTTTCAGGTGCGGTGGTCACCGCAGGCTTCTCTCCGACCTCTTTGGGGGAGTGAGGTGGTGAGTCTTAGCTGTGAATATCTCGAAGAATGCATTTCAGGCAGAGCCAGCAGCAAGTACAAAGGCCCGGAGATGGGAGGGTGCGCACTGAGTTTGTTGATTCATTAATCGGTACCTGTGCCCTTGCCTTGGACTTTCTAAGATCAGTGCCTGGGTCTTTCTCATCAGACAGGAGTGGTCAGAGGGGTGAGTGGGGGCCACGTCCTCCCTTTCTTTACGCAATTCCTCTTTCCCCAACGCTGGCCAGGCCTAGAAGCAGGACAGGTGGAGGAGAAAAGGCAGAGACAGTCAAGCAAGAGGGTGGGTTCTGCGCTGTCCCACTACTCACCCCCAGGCTGTTCCTGCTTTTAGCCCCTGAAGGTCCCACCCTGTCATTCCCCGTCCCCCGCCCCCCCCCCCCCTTCCCTAGCGGACGCGTCCCGCCTCCTTACCTCCCGACTGGACGGTCGGGACGGTGAGAGCGGCCCGCAGCCTCTGCCTGCAAGTGCTCGGCGCCCCGCAGCGCAGACTCCGGGGCTGATGCCGCTGCGCCCACTTTGTAGATGCGGTATCCGAGGCTCAGGTGCAGTAAGCCGCCCGTGGCGGCCGGTTCAGCGACAGAATGGCGTCGAACCAGACTTCTGGGCCCGAACAGAAGAAACTCCACCCACAGGCCGCGCCCCGAGCCCCTTGTGGCCGGGACACCGCAACCCTAGAGCCGGATGCAGCGAGTTCCTCTCGTTCTGGGCATAATCTGGGGTCCCGGCCGAGCCGCCTCCGGGACCGGCAGTGAGGAGGGTGGGAGCGGGTGCGGTCCCGCCTTCGGGAGCCGACGGCCCTGCGGGGGAGAGACGGGCACACCGGGATTTAGGAGCGGTCTGGGGAAGCGAGTGCTAGATTGAGAGGTGAAGAAACGGCGGCAGGATTAACGGGGGTGGGGAGGGCAGGAGAGCAGCCAGGTAAACAGACTTGATCTTTTAGTGAAAGAAGCGGGGCGGGGCTGATGCTTAGGAGCACTTAATCGCCTGCCTGGGACTGTTCTAAACGGTTGGGGTGCTTAGGTCTCATTTCAGCTCCCCCCGGGGGGCCAGGTGGCAGGTACTGTTATCTTCAGGGGGTAAATAGCTCGCCGGAGGCCAAAGAGCTAAAAGGCAAGCGGGCCGGCTCCCGGGGCCCTGGGGCCCTGCTGTCACGCAGGCGGAGCGGGCTTACTCTTCAGGAGGCTGCAGAGATTTCCAGCTGAAGAGGGGGAGGGTCTGACCTGGGCCTGGGCTGAGTGGGCACTGGGAAGGGGGGGCGTGGGGGAAAGCGCAGGGGCGCGGGGCGGGGGCTTGATGTGGAGAAAAGTAGTGAGCAGCCCAAAGTGTCCACTACTTAGGGGTTGACGGGATCAGATGGGGTCCTGGGTTCCAGAGGAAGACAAGACCTCGGCATTGGCCTCAGTGGCCCAGGAGTGCCAAGTGACACTGTTCTACAGGTCACTACTGATCATTCGGGGCTCTGGATGAAAAAGGGAAATGCTTCCATTTTTCTTTTTTTTTTCAGTGGAGATGGTCCAGGCCCTAAGAGATTTAAGTGATTTGCCCAAGGTCACAGAGCTAGAGGCTGGTGGGTCAGGGGCAGGGCTAGACTGCCCTCATACCCTCTGGTCCACGGACCTTCCGCTGACCACGCTGCTGCCCAGCTGCCCTCCGGGAGAGGATTTCAGGCCCTGGATCACTGGAAGTTCACAGAGGTGCTGGCAGCCGGCGTGTGGGCCAGTGGTGAGGAACGAGGACTCCCGAGTTACCTTATTACTGTAACTAATATTAATCAGGAAGTGCTTCTGTGCTGGGCACCTTTATATACATGATCTCACTGAATCCTTGGGAGTTTTACTGGTGTCAGAGTTTGAATGATGCCCTCCTTTGCGGTGGGAGGGGGAAAATGACCTGATGTCAGCTGTCTTTTCCGGATCCCAGTGGGATGTCTGAGGGCCTGGAGATTAAAGTTCACTCTGTGTGCAGGACAGGTGGGGCTGAGGGTAGGATGGCATGTGCTTTTTCTCCAGAGAGCGTGATGTCTGAGGTCAAAAGGCCTCTGGGTGCTGCGTTCTTGTGACTTGTTGCCTGCATCTGGGGTTTTCCCATCCTAGAAACTTATCAACCTGTAGGGAGTTATAAACTCCGGGTGCCTCCATGGTTACTCTTTCTGCAGGGATCACTAACTCCTGCTACAAAATGTAACTACAGAACAGCAGATGAGAAAATAAGGGGCAAAGAGGTTAAGAAACCTCGCAAAGACAAACACCTTTATGGTTTGTAGTCACAGAGGTTTCAAAGTTCCCTTGGTTTGTTTCTTAGTAGAGCCGTTCTTTCCTAATGAAATCCAGTACAGATTCTTAGATTCCCAGTGGCTCCAGCAGGTAAGAGGGACCTGTTGTGGTTGAAGTGAGGGGCCTGGAGCTGACCTCCTGCCCCCTGCTTTAGCACCTGGAGGCCTCAAGGAGACAAGGGCATGCGGTTTGAGAACCAGAGCCCAGACTCCCTGCCTGAGTGTTCTTTACAGCGCCCCCGACTGCCTTTGCCTCTGGTCTGAGTCGGGTCCCGAGCCCTTGGGCGTCCCTCTGGCCTCTCCAGCCCTTCTCACCACTTACTGAGCCCCTCCCACGAAGGCCCCAGTAGGTACTTACTGGCTGCGTGCATCCCCCCCACTACACATGATACAGTTGTCGGGGAGCTGTGCCAGGCTTTACTGTGATCTCGGTGAATGCCCTTGGGCTGGTCCCCTGACCTGTGTGTGACAGTTTCCCTTTTTACCTACCCCGCCCCGTCCCCCCACCACCATGGAGCACCCTACTCCACCAGACTCAGGTTTAAGAGTGAGACAGGACCCTAACTAGAAGTGCTGAAAGCAAGCCGGATCCATAAGGATCCCGGGGCCTCCCGGGAGCGTGGCTCTGCTTTCTGCCCCTCACCGAGAGGGGTGGCCCAGACCGCCTCTGGAAGCTTCCACTTGCACGTGCCATAGGGCTCACCCCCCGAGTCCCCTTTCGGTTTGCTTCCCAGCAGTGACCGTCACGCATGAGCTGCGTGCTTTGCTTACCTCTCAAACTGGGGCGTGACCTGGCCTGCTTCCACACACACTGTAAAGGGCGTAAGCTATGACTGGGCAGGGGATGGTTTAAAGGGAGCTTCAGATGGAAGTGACAGCAGCTGCAAACTCGACCTCGTGGCTCTTGAGCACGGCACCGGCACCGGGTGCTGCGGACACGGTCCTGCCCTCCCACTATGAATCAGACAGGAATGGAAAACTTGTCAGAACGGTTCCTGACGGAGAGTGACCAGAGGGGTCCGTTGTGGGTTGAGTGGGCAGGACAGACCTCTCCTAGGAGGTGATGTTTCAGCTGAGACATGAAGAATGGAGAAAGGGGGGCAGCCGGGAGAAGGGCCTTTCAGGTGGAGGGACCAGTAGATGTGAGGAGGAAAGTGCTAGGCTTGTCCTAGGCATGCGAGGTGGGTGGGAGTAGGGTCCCCCCCGCCCCACCAGGAGGTGGGTCTGTGCTGTGACTAAGGTGGGCTTCCCGGGTATCCTGGGAGACCGAAGCAGAAACTGTGGCTGTCGGAAGCTACAAGGTGTGCTCTGGGTCTTCCCTGAGGAGGCTGGTGGGATGTGGCGGGGGCCCTCCCTCATGCTTCCCCGTGCTGTCTTCCAGTCCCAGAAGCTGCTGGCTCAAAGGAGGCCCCGCCGGTCCTTCTTTGAACCCTCCATCCGGGCCCTCATCATCTTTTGCGCCTCCCTGGCCATGGTCCTCACCTCCCTCTCCATCTGCGATGGCCACTGGCTCCTGGCCGACGACCATCTGTTCGGGCTGTGGCACTTCTGCACCACCTCGAACCAGGCTGAGCTGCACTGCCTCCGAGACCTGAGGCAGGCCCACGTGCCCAGGCTAGCCTCGGGCATGGCTGTGGCCCGCAGCGTGGCCACCTTGGCCGTGGTGGTCGCCATCTTTGGCCTGGAGCTCCTCATGGTGTCCCAGGTGTCCGAGGA